GCACTCCGCCTCAGCACTGGCAGCTCGGTCGCAGTGACCTCGCGAGGGCCGCTGGTCACTTCGACCCTCGGCGAGATAGCCACACTGGTCGCGCGACGGCGACGCCGAGGTCACGCTACCCGATGCGGCGCTCGCCGACGGCCGTAGCCCTTTGCTGGCTATAGCGAAAGGTAAGCTTTTTTTTAATAAAAAAGAAAATCCCAAAACCCTTTGCAAAAAAAAAAAATAGCCAAACACTACTTAAATCAAAATAGCTTCAATAAGGATTTTTTACCAAATGTCATTTACATTTTCTGAGGAGGCTTTAACCTAAATGTATTTATATTCCCCCGATGCTTATTTGCAAAGTTGAACCAAACGGGCGCATAATCCATACAAACATCCGCTACTTCTTAGGGTGGCCCAAGTCCAAAGCGATACCCAAGAACTTTCCCGTTTTGGTGTTTTCTGGGATTCTCATTTCTAGAGCCATGTTCTCCCCAACTGATTTGGACATCCAGCACTGAAATACATTCCTGGTTTGTTCGGATTGATCTCCTAGTCCGTAGCAAAGCAATATTGATGTAGGGTAGAAGCTAGGTTTTGACATTCTCTAAACTTCTAACATGACCAGGATAGCCATCTCCAAAAACATCGAATCAGCTTTTAGGAAACCCATTCAAAGATGTAGGCCTTCATTTCATATGTTGAATGGCCCAAATTACTATCTCCTCTTCTTGAGTCTGATGCCCTTGAAACTTTCATCCTCAACTGCACTCTTCATCAGGAAAGAGAGCACATTTGACGTGACTTTGGAAATGATTTTTCTGCTGAAATTGCATAGACTGATCGGCTGAAATTGATCTATCTTCTTTGGATTGAGGTTTTTGGGCATTAAAGCAACATCGGTTTTATTCAAGTTTGGGTATGAAGTACCAGTATCAAAGAACGATATGACTAGATTGAATACACAATTTGAATGATTTCCTACTGAGAGACTATGGTAACACACTGCATGACCCATGATAGCCATCTTCCATTGAATCCCAACTTCAACAAGAAGGCTTTTAGGAAATCTCATTCAACCATGTCGTAGGCCTTCTTTTCATATCTAGCTTCAGAATGGCCCAAAATTTCTTTTTCCTCTTCTTGATTCTAAGTCGGTGAAGTACCTATTGAACCACTAAGATATTGTCTTGGATCTGTCTACTGCTCACAAAGGCACTTTGCTCCATTGCTATCAAGTCAGAAGCCATAGTTTTAGACGATTTGACGTGACTTTGGAAATGATTTTTCAGCCGAAATTACATAGACTGATGGGCTGAAATTGATCTATCTTCTTTGGATTGAGGTTTTTGGGCATTAAAGCAACATGGGTTTTTATTCAAGAATATTTGGAATGAAAGTACTTTTCATATTTTCAAAGAAGGATATGACTAGATAATATTTTTTATTAAAATATATATTTTTATTTTTTTTTTTTGCCATGGTTCTGCCGGCCATGGCCGGTAAAATAATTTTTATTAAATTTTTTTTATTAAAAATATACATTTTTATTTTTTGGATCCATCTGGTCCTGGTGCTTTCAACGCACCTAGTTGAAAAGTAGCCTCCTTTACTTCCTGCATAGTCACTCCTCTCAACAGACTTTGATTCATATGATCCGTTACCAAACTGAGGCATTGGTCTAGCACTAGCTGGAAGTTCCTTGCAATCACAATGCTGTATAATGACCGGAAGAAAGCCATTGTTGTTTTTTTTTTCAACCGTTCCGCTTCTTGGCACTATTTTTCTTCAGTTAATTTAAGGGCAGAGATTTTGTTTTTTGTTTCCTCTGAGTTGTGGTTGCATGGAAATACTGTGTATTCTTATCACCCCATTTCAGCCAGTTGATTCTTAAACGCATACCCCATTACATTTCTTCTTGTTTCCATAGGTTCTTTATTTGCAAGTTTAGTTGTTGTACCCTCTTCATGTTGTGATTTAGTGTCTAAGAATTGGTTATCTCCTGGATCTCCCTTTTCAGAAAATTGATTTGGCGTTAGGCATTGGAGAATTTCTTCTTGCAGCACCGCTTTAAAGCTTCCGATACTTTCTGTAATTTCTAGTGTAAATGTGCATTTTCTAATTCCTGAAGGCTCCACACCGAGTGTACAACCTGTTCACATTCTGCATCTTTCAACCAAAATGCTTCAAATTTGAATTCCCTTTGCCTTTAACCTGATTCTGACGAGAGTGATACCAACAAGGGGCTGGTCCGAACCAATAGTAGGTAAAGCATAAACTTCAGCACTTGGGAATATCAATCTCCATTCTACATTGCATGGAGATCTGTCAAGTCTTTCTTTGACAAGATCATCCCCATCCTTGTTATTCACCCATGTAAAAGTGCTTCCCTTGCATTCTAGATCCATAAAAGATTAGTCATTAATAAAATCAAGAAACGCGGCTAACTTGTAGTTTCCAGCCATCCATCTTCCAATCTTTTTCCAGGGATACAAATTTTCATAAGAATCACCCATGCAAATCCAAGAGATCTGGTTTGAGTGACTCTTTGTAGCTCTTCCCAAAGGTGCAACCGTTCTTGGTATACAGTTGTTGCATGCACAAAGGTAATTCTCGTATGTTTTTTAATGTCATTTTCTGTGCACATTAAGTCAATAGCCTCAGATGAAGCCTGCTCCACATACAAAGATACCTCATCAGTCCAAGAAACTGCTAATCCCCCTCCAAGTTCTGTTGGGTTCACCACAACACTATTCTGAAAATTCAGTCGTCTCTTTATACTCTAAAGTACTACTACTTGGTTTTTTGTTTCCATCAGAAAGATGACACTAGGCCGTTCCTGAGCCACTAAGGCTCTTAATGCCTAGAATATCTGGGGTGTGCTAAACCCCTAACAATTCCTGCTTAATATTTTCATGGGAAACTGGTAGCTTTTTAGGGCTAGCCATTAAAGCCCATGTCTGTGAGTCATTCAAAACATGTATCAGAGTCTCTAAGAGTTGGGTCTCATCCAAGGTAAGAGAGCTTACCTTCTGGATTGCATAAGGATTGTACCTTCTCTGGTTTTCTGGCGTGCTAGTTTCGTTTTCTTGCTGCTGTTCTTATGAGTTTCTTTTGGGGCCTCAGCAATCACTTTTGTATGAGCTGGGATCATGCTCAGCATCAAGTTCTGTTCTGGAATGTGACCTAAGGAGGTGCCACCCATCCCTATCCACTCTTCCTCCTGCACATACAGTTGTCCTCTCTTGCTCTGCATTTTCCCAGCATTGGGGATCAAAAGGCTCTTTCCCCTGGGATCATAGGACACTAGTTGCAGCATAGGGTTCGGTTCTCAGGAGTTACCTCATCCTTCGTGCTTGCATCCTCTGGTCTAGCGTAGAACAGTTTCTAGAGTGGGTTGTATTCCCTTGCTTCAGCTCTTAACAAGTGACCATAGCGGCCTGGATCATCTGTCATATGCCTGCTTTTATCAGCGTGTTCCTTCTCACAAAACTTTGCAAAATGCCCAACCAAGGTAGAACCGTGACCAACCCAGGAAATCGCCGCTGTCCATCGTCGTCCACAAATTTAACTAGGTGAGAACCTGCACTTTCCTTGCATTTCGATCACGCCTATTTCTTAATCGATCGTCGGTGAACTTCTACTTTTGTAGTTTGGTCGAATCGCCTTGAACTTGGGCTCCTTAGTTAATGTCGAGATCGTGCATCTTCATTCCGAGATTCTATGGGAGAGAACTTTGTCTTGTCTGAATGCGCTTAGATGGGCATCTTGTCTGGATGTTCGTGTGAACAAGACTTGGCATTGGTCTTGTGGTTGAAATGGATTCAGTTCGAGCGCTAACTCTTACGCTTTGGCGTAGAAGGTATTCGAAGAGCTCCATGTCCCAGATTTTGTTCATGGAATATAATGATGGGAACTTGGTTGAACAGAGAACAAAGAATTTGAGAAGAAGAGGATAAAGACTCGTCACTACCATATGAATTGAGGCCATTGGATATCAATTTATTGACTTTTACGAATGTTTAGCTACGTATTTCATTGATAATTTTCCCATGGATTTTGTGCGATAAAAATCACACGCACTTGCTATCTAGATTTAATTTATAGGGTGCATTGTTATCTGTTGGGGAAATTGTTCAGTAAGTTCTAAACATATTATACGGATGCCAATTCAGTTTGCCGCGTGCCACGTCAGCGAATTTCACACGAAGGTGTAATATTATACTTGGCAAAATTGAATTATTTATCGCTGAATTGATATTGGAACAATAATGATTAGGTAATTCCCTATACTTGTTCATGTTCACATGTCGAAAGAGTAGTTGGGCACTCGTTCGCGCTTTTTTCACGTGATGTTTGCTGGTTAAAGTATCTTTTTGCATGTTACATTTATACTGGGCGCTCATATGTGCACCATATAGCTTAAATTTCTCATTTTAAGTCACATTTAGCATCCTAATTGTAATTCTAATGATAGAGTGCTTTTGGTTCAGTTTTTGGCATTTGAAGAAATGTAAAGGACTTTAGTTTAAAGGGTTTTCCACGAAAAGCAAAGACTGTTTGGTAAGCTGTAGTATGTAATTAAAAAGCACGTTGAGAAGCAATTTTATGAGAAAGACCATTTGATGGAAACGCATTCAAAATGTCCTTTGATATGACCAATTTACCAAGTTGCAATCGATAGGACGGGGAGAGCTCGTGCTAGACTTAGGCACCGCCTGGCGAGAGGAACCGTGCGCGCCCGCTTGGGGGATATCACCTCGGTAGGGTTGGGACATGAAGTCAGAGAGAATTTCTTATCACGCACGTCTCGTCCTCTTCTATTTCAATTCTTGTCTCGGCGACCAAACGCAGATCAGATGCCCCATTACAAAGAAGCTACACAAATTATGGGGCAAAACTAAACACGAGAAAATTCTCTTAAACAAAAAAAGAAAAAACAATTCCATTTGACTTCACGTCTGTACACGAGATGAGCCGGTGACATATTTAAAAAAGCAACAAGACAATGATGCTTCCAGTAAAACAATGGGATCCATACTTTGTCCCATATTTTTTTTTTTTGAAAGAAAAAACTTATTCGTCCATCATCGCCATATATTAAATAGAAGAAGAAAAGAATACACAGAAAATAAAGGAGCGGCCACCGCCACTCCCGGTCACCAGGTCACACCCCCCACCGCACCGAACCGCGGGGCACTCCGGGCAGCCCAAAAAGTCCAAAACCGCGTCACCCGTTCCCTGCCCGAACCACCCTTGACCTGCCCGCTTAGCTGTAATTAACAACCCAAAAAGAAAGAAAGAAAGAAGGAAGAAAAAAAGAAAAAAAGACAAACAAATTTTTCTACTTCTTTTTTCTCAGCTGAATGTGCAAGATTTGGCCAGGGAGATCGCCACGTTGAGCTTCTTGGGATCGAAGGTGACGGAGCAGTCGATCTGCTTGGAGAACTTGGGCTTGACCAGCTTCCCCAGGACGTAGGCTTTGGATCGGACGGCGAAGCTCAGGCCGAGGGGCACGGGCACGGTCGGCACGTCCGACGAGCTGCTCAGCCCAGATCCGCTCCCGTACAGGGGGATCTGGTCGCCGATCACCGACACCGACGCCACTCTCTGGCTCTTCCTTCCCTGATAGAACTTCTTCAGCTGCAACAAAAGAAACAAAAAAAAAACCCAGTTGGAAATGACCGAGATTAGTCGACGTAAATGAACGGAGCAGTAGAAATCTGTTGAATTTCGACTGGGGTCCGGCGGGCTCTTACAGTGCCGGAGGCGATTGTGAGCTTGGAGTAGGTGAGATCGACCGGCGTCGCCGTGACGTGGACGCCGAAGAACGTGCCGGTGTTGCGGTAGGTGAACTTGACCGTGGAGTTCACGGTGATCATGTCCGTGGTCACTCCGGTACTGTCCGACCCGGCTTGGATCTTGAGCTGCTCGAAGGTAATGCTCTGCAAAAACCCATGAAAGGAATCGATCAAATCCCGACTCGGCCAATTCGCTAGCAAAAATGAGACTCGAGCGTGCGATCCCTCGGACCAATGCTCCGAAAGAAAGAGGCCCCACGAATAAGAAAAGGAAATGTGTTTTAAGTCTGGGAATGGAGCGTACGGACCTTCATGGTGATCTTGGGCTTCTGATTCTTGCTGGCCCCCCAGAGAATGAGAGAGAAGAAGGAGAAGAGGATGAAGAAGCCGAGGACGAAGGCGAGGTAGTAGCACCGGCGAGGCAGGCCCCGCTCGCGGTCCTCGTCCTCGAGGAGCCCCTCCTCCTCGATGATGGCGCACTCCTTCCGCCCGCCGCCGCCCCCCTTCCGGCCGCCGCCGCCGCCGCGGGAGCCGTCGTTGGGGTTGACCTTGCGGGATCCGGGCTTGAGGGACCCGGAGAAGCGGCTGGAGGAGGACTGGCGGGAGTGGCGGCCGACGGAGGAGTGGGAGTGGGGCGGGGACGCGGTGGGGCTGAGGGCCGGCGTGGAGTGGAAGGAGGTGGCGGTCTTCTCGCCGTCGTGGGAGTCGCGGGACGGGCTCTGGACGTAGTAGACGGGCCGGCGCGGGGACCGGGTGGGGGACGAAGGGGCGATGCTGGTGACCTCGGAATCCGTCTTGGCGTGCATCTTGGGGAGGTGGTCGCGTCGGTGGGCAGCCTCGCACAAGTTCCTCTCTCTACTCTCTCTCTCTCTCTCTAGTTCACAGCGTGACAATGAGGATGGGAGGTGACGACTTTAACGGGAGCGAGTTTTCCTCAACTAGGGTTGGGATTAAAATAAAGAGGAGGGGGAATAATTGTGGCTTGAGTGGTGGAGAGAGAGAGAGAGAGAGTGAGTGAGTGGGGAATGACCTAGAGAGAGAAAGCTTCTTTCGCCGCAGAGCGGTGGTGAGTTCTTGCTGGCTGGCTGGCTGGCTGGCGCTCGCGCGGAGGAAAGCGAGAAGAAACGGAGCGAAGGAGGAAGGAGGGGTTGGTCGTTTCTTTTTGTCTCCGACAGCAGTGTTACAGTTGGCACCGTCGGAGGCATCTATGGATTGAGTGTGGCGCACCACATGGGGGGACGAGATTGTTGGCCCCGCCCCCCAAAAAAAAAGAAATTAAGTTTGGCGCTTTTTTAATTTATTATCGTGGCTTTTCCTCGTGCCAAGGTTTTGGTTTAGTGTAGAGTTTTTCTTTATAAGATTCCATGATGCACTCCTGGCCAGATACGGCGGGTCGGTAGGAAATTATTTTGGGTTTCATTTGATTTTCGGAAAATGAATAGTTCAAAAAATATTTTTTTTAAAATGATCTCTTATTTTGCTTACGAAAATAGATCAACGAAAAATATTTTTAATATTTAGACATAAATTATTATCGATGATGAAAATTCTTTTTGTTAACTAATTATTTTAAGCAGCATAAGTGATCATTTTTGGGCAAAAATTATTCAAAATTATTTATTTTTCGCGAAATAGACGGAGTATGATTTTGATTTGGTTTCCATTGCTTGGGAGTTGTGTGACTCATTTGATATGTCTCATCGATGTGGTTTTCACGGTAGGATGAGAATTTCATAATAGGAATTAGCTACGATCATGTCTCCAAATTATGAGAGTGTGACACTTCGTGATTTCGATGATTTTTTTTTATTTTATTTTGCCTAAATAGAATCCACGCAAATCTTCCCTCTATCTTCTCTACCTCTCCTCTTCCCGTGCTCAATCCCAGCAACGACAATTGCCACCTCTCGCCATTGTCATCAGAGGCAAACACCACCACGAACCAAGCTCCTCTCTCTCTCTCTCTCTCTCTCATGGGGCCAAGCATGCGCGCATGTGAGAGAGATGTCAGTTGATTATGATTGCCACAATCAGTTTTAGAGATATATTTAGGAGGCTATATATTTCGCTTGATTGATTATAATTAATATTATGTTACTTTAGATAATTATCCTATAAAGCTTACAAATTGACTCATGTACTCTTAATTTGATAATGAACATAATACTTAATTTTTCTGTTATCACAATTCTCAACTTGGTATTAGGGCCATTATTGTCTGACGAAGAGGCCATTTGAGTCTTTATAAGGTGGTGATCGTAGCATCATTACAACAATCACGCCGGTGTCCATTTTCCATCGAACCCGCCGATCTTGAGTGCTATTCCGACTCTTTTCACTGCTTCTTTCGACAAACCAATACTACCCACTAGACTCGTCGCTCTCAAAAGAGCCAGATCACAAAATTTCCCTACCACCTGTCGCTACACGTGCTTTCATGCGCCACCCTGCGTTACTACGAGTAAGAGTACGCGCCTCCAGCGAGCCGATGCTTTTGAGTGATGTTCCGATGCTATTCGTGGCTAGTTTTGATAAATAAACACCACCATCTACCTTTCCATCCTACGATGAGTCCAACGCCCAAAACTGCGCTGCCAAATTCCGTCGCACGCACCATTGCGGCTGAGATCACTCGTCGCCACGTGCTACATGTGCTTGAAGTGTTTGTCGCTCCACTTATGTCATTACTGACGTCCCTCGAGTGCCATCCACATGCACGTTCTAGTCGCGTCCGCTTGCTACGGGTGCGCATGGAATGCATTCCGGACCCACCCAGACCCACCCAAGACCCTGTTCACCGTACACCCCAAGGCCCGGGCCGGGCCGGGCCGGGCTTCGGGTTTTTTTTTTTTTTTCGCAGATAGTAACATCAAAAGGCAGAAGACAATTCTCCCACGAAATCCAAACGGCCAAACCAGATGAATGTGTTGCTGAACTGTGAAAAACTACCTGCAAAGTGAAAACCATTTTAATTTTGCCAACTTCCTTCACTGCTTGATATCTCTTAATGGTGACTGCAATGTACATTCTCAATTCTCCCACGAAATCCAAACGGCCAAACCAGATGAATGTGTTGCTGAACTGTGAAAAACTACCTGCAAAGTGAAAACCAGGAAGCTAAGCAGAATACAGCCATTCTCTTGTCCACGACGCCAACATGTAGTTGAGAAAGAATTTAACAAGACCAAACTCAAAACTCTTGACAGTTGTTACTAATTTTTTCAACCTCATCATCGCTAAAATGACTACCTTATCACTCTTGGTGTGAGGTAAAAGCATACATAAACTGAACACCTTCAGCAACTTAAAATTTCACAGCCAGAACACCATCAATCGTAGTACGAAGTTCCCGTCAAGAATCCCCACGCTTTCCCACCCCTCCCATTCAACGCCGTCAACTTCTCGTGAACGAGGACAAATTTACAAAGCAAAACCGAAAACATATTGCGGGGACTCAGAGAGCAAAAGGACTTACCAACTCAACGAAACTATAGGATAAAGAAGAAGGCAACCATGCGAACGGAGTTCCTGAACATCCACGGCATGTTGATCCGCTTCCTTTCAATCTGCACCGACACGGAAACAGAACGGCAAGCCTCTTTAAAAAAAAAAGAAAAAAAAAACCCATCAAACGGGGAGACCCCAATTGTAATCCCAGCAACAGGCACCACCCAACGACCCATTCAACACCCACCATCTCCCCCGCACACAGCTCGAATTCACGCGCTTCAAGGACAACCAAAACGAAACGGACAAACCCCAGCTCCAGTTCCAGCTCCAGTTCCTAACGGGTAGGCACGGACCCACAGAACCCTCGCCAAAATGAACAGGGGCGGGGGGCGAGATCTGACGCCAGAACAACACGGCAAACCAGAGAAGAAGCGGGCCCCGGGGGAAAATGCAGGTTGAGCACCTTCATGACGCCGTCCTCCGCGAGCAGCGCGTACCGCCGCGACCGCACCCCAAGCCCCACCGGCTGGTCGCTCAGGTCGAGCTCGCACCCGATCGCCCTCGTGAAGTCCCCGTTCCCGTCCGACAGCAGCATGACGTCGTCGCCGATGCCCAGGTTCTCCTTCCACGCCCGCATCACGAAGGCGTCGTTCACGGAGATGCAGGCGATGTTGCCCACGCCCTTGGCCTTCAGCTCCCCGGCCTTCTCCACGAACCCCGGCAGGTGCTTCTGCGAGCAGGTCGGGGTGAAGGCCCCCGGGACGGCGAAGAGGATCGACTTCTTCCCGGCAGTGAGGGCGGAGACGGTGGTGGTCTGGAGCTCGCCGGCGGGGTCGAAGTAGGAGAGGGTGGCGTCGGGGAGCCTGTCGCCCACGGAGATGGCGGCGCGGGTGGCGGCGGTGGAGAGGCGGAGGGGCTAGCCGGGGGACCGGCGGCGGGGGACGACGAGGAGGGAGGAGCGGCGGCGTAGCGCCAGAGAGGGGAGAGAGAAGGGAAGAGAGAGTGAGAGAGGGAGATGGGTCGGCCCAGAGTGTCAATGGGCCGATCCTAAAATATCCCAACCCTAATGAAACTCCAAATTTTAGAGTCATACTTGAATAAAATTAAAGCCCGATTCTAAAATACTACACATTTTAGGGACGGACCGGACCGGCGCGGGTCGGACCGGGCCGACGCGGGTTTGATTGACACCCCTACCTCGAGTGCCATCTACATGCACGTTCTAGTTGCGTCCGCTTGCTACATCAGTCGCCAGGTCTTTGGTTGATCGTTGACTAACCATTAACCAACTGTTGACCATTGATCAATCATTGACCGGTCAGTCAAATCAGTCCAACCGGTTCAGGGACTTTTCAACTGGTTCTTGGCGATGGCAGACCAGTTCCTAAGGTAATTCGACGTGTTGAGTTCATTTTTTGACTTTATTATCTCCATATCGGCTCTTTAGGTATTGGTTTCTTTGCATTAGCTGTCCATTCTATTGTGTTGAAATTGGTACAATGCATATTATGGATAACTAAGAAATTACAATATCTAATTGCCATCAACTATGACCTAAGCAACTTACAAGGACAGCTAATCAACGCAGGAACTATGGTCCATATGCAAGTTCATTTGCCACTATTGCTAACGTAAAGGCTTTTCCCAATGAATTGTCTGCCACTCTCTCATTAGAAGATCTATATTCCATTCTTCAGAAGTTTGGTACTTCTAGCTCTTCTGTTTCTTTTGTTATGTCTTTCGCTTCAAGTACTTATAATTCGTGGTTTTTTAACTCGTCTGCTGCAATTATATGACTTCAAATTCTTATTTGTTTCAATCAAAATCATTCAATTCACATGCCTTTACTATTCACACAGCTAATAATGCCCAAATAAGAGTCGGTGATATACTAAATATTTCAACATCTATATTATCCTTGCCTAACACCTTTATGGTTCCCAAACTTTCCATAAATATGATTTCAAAAGGAGAATTGTGTGAACTTGGTTTTGATATTTACTTCTCTTCTCATGGTTGTTATGCGCAGGATCCACGGACAGGATAAACTATTGGGATTAGCCAAAGAGTGGGATGCCTGTTTGAACTTATTTTCTTGAATATTTCCAACTCTTTTGTTGTTATATTGCCATAGCGTCATCTAAAACTTGCTAATTGAGTTATAAACCTTTTGATAATTTGCCAATTGAGTCTATCCGACGAATTTTAGCAGAAAATCGTTGACGTAGATGCCAGTCATCCAACGTGGCATTGCCGGCGTTAACGTAGACAATTTTTTAAAATTTTTTAGAATTTTATTGAACTTTTTATTATTTTTTTTGAATTTTTATTATTTTATTTTCCTGTTTTTCTTTGCTTTTTTTTTTTTCCAGTGCTGGTGAGGGTCGCCGCCGCGAAGGCCCTGGGCAAGGCCATCGCAGCCTCGTTGGCAAAGGGCGAGGGCGTGAAGACCCCCACCAGATTTGGGCGAGGGTGGCAAGCGGGGCCGGGAAGGCCCTCACCTGCGGTTGGTCGGGCTGCAAAGGGCCATCGCGGCCTCGCCGTCCGTGAGCAAGGCTTCGATTCAGAATCAGTTCCTTACCGATTGCAAAACGCAGGCCGGACAAGCGACTTTCCTGCTTTGGAGTATCCAGTGGAGGAAGCAATTTGACTTGTTGCATCATAAAGGAGAGACTTTAGGAGGACAATTAGAAGAAGAAGGTGATTTCGGCGATGAATTGAATACCGCCGCATTGATCAAAAGTTGCTACTTCTGGAGTTCTGAACCTATTCGCCTAGGAAGCTCGAACAAGACTCGTTTCGCTTCAACCAAAGACGGCCCGTTGTGCCAAATATAGCAAAGCTATTTCCAGATTTTGCTCACAAGCTCCCTCACCGTCTGTTGGAAGAACGATTCATCGCCCCGTTACAGTCATGTAGGACCAAGAAGCAACTCCATCAGATCCATGCCCAGGTATTTTGTCATGGCCTAGAACGGAACCATATTATGTTGCTCCGATAATCATCACAATTTGTGCTCAGCTCAGGGAAATAATGTGTACCCATAACGTTTTTGATCGAATTCTCAATCCTCACCAGCCGCGAAGGCCGCGCCAGTACTCAACATTTCCGCGCGACTACAGTCTGCCCAAGCCAAACGGTTTTGCATATGTGCTGATGTAAGTCCATTTAGCCCAATTTCTTTGCCCACCAAGCCTCCTGACGCAGCCTAGGATTAAATAGAGTCGAAGTTGAAACCCAAAATGGGTTAGGGCCGATCAACTATTGATTCAAGGTCAGCCAAGGCTGGTCCACCGACGGCTCCCTCTTTCATCTCGTGTTCTGTCACATGCCTTCAATCAATGGCAAGCCCATGCGCTCCTTTGTACTCCTCTTATCCTTGGCTTGATCAAATGAAAGGTTATAAGGGTTCTAAAGGTCCTCCATATATTTTGAAAAGACTAATAATTGATGTGATGAGACCTTAGGGGGCTACGGTCCAATGGGTAGGACAAAACCCATGTCTAGTAGGGGATTAACCAATGGACGAAGGCCCAAGGTGTCCGGCCATCATATAAGCCCATTTCTCTCTCTTGTTTCATTTTTCCTTTTGGTCACGTTTAGCTCTCACATTTCTCTCTGCTAAGGATCCCTTTGCAATGATCCTCACTCTCCTAAAACGTGTGTGTGGTGTGTTTTCAAGCCGGAGTCGCCTTACCTCGTTCACTCAAGGTAGGAATCCTCAAATTACTCTATGGCTTTGAGGATTCCGTGATTGGGTCGTTGTCAAAAGATGAGGTACGATGAATTTTGGGTTTTAGAGTGTAATCAAATCCTCAAGCCTAAATCTCTACTTCGTAGAAGTAAAACGTGCTCTCACGTTTACTTGAACTCCAACGGCCTTTGATAGATTAATGACAAGTAAAAACCGAATTTTCATAACTAATCGAGAATTCAAGTTGCGATCGGTGAAAATTGGGAGAACCCAAGCTAAGTATTAAAACCACCTCTCAAGCGGAATTGTTTGCATAATCCAATGACCATCTTGGGAAATATCTAATGTATTTGCTCTGGGGAGGGTAGAGACAAATAACAAATCGAGAAATAATTATATCCCTATGCTCTCTTTATACATATTCTCTACCTTCTGGTGTCTCCTTGGACCACGATAATTTGCTATTTTAAATGTTAGATCTGTGTTTGTTCAAAGCGATGGTGTAGAGGAAGTCGAACTTAGGTGCACACCGCCAATTCATAACGTTGCAGTTACTAGAGAAGGAAGCGCTCATGACTAACGAATATATGAGAGCTAGGGGTGTCAATGGGTCTGGTCGGGTTTCTATGATACCCGACCCGAAACACACATGAATGTACTTAACCCGACCCGAACCGGCCCGAGGCCCAAATGATATATATCCCAAAAGATCGGATCGGGTCGGGTCGGTCGGGTATCTTTTTTTTCCCTCTTCGTCCCTTCACCTCCCTCTGTTTCCCAGGCTCAAAGAAAAATATGAAATGGAAACATTCCCAGTTCAAACAAACTTCAAATATCTAAATTTGTCACGACCTCTTCGAACTTTGATTAAAAAGAATTTCTCTATCGTGATTGCTATAGCGAACTATCATATCAAGATCCTGATTGTTTAAAGTATCTGAGGACAGAAGAGCCACCTTTTCACTCTTGTGAATACACCTAGCGGTGGATCCAAATTCGACTGAACAAAAACAATCAAAGTAACATTAACAGCACCCACAAATCTTGACTTCCTAAACAAACCCACAATCTCCTCCACCTTCACGTCACTGCACTCTCAGCGACCACCACACAAGCCCCGCCGACCCTCGTCGTCATCTCCATCTACGCTGTGAATCGCGATAGGAACAGAGCCACCTCCAAATGCCCACTAAACGCCAAATCGAAAACCCCATCGAAGATGGGCAAATTGTGCAGACCAACGCGGCTTACCAAAGGCTGCGAGTCGACCCCTGTGACATCGGCGACGCCCGACTTGGACAGCGCCATGACCTTATGGTCGGTTCCAGCGGAGACGTAGAGGACCTTGGAGTGGTTGCGGAGGAGGCTTAGATCGGGGATCGAGTCGAAGAAGTGCCGGTGGGAGAGGACTTGGCCGCGGAAACCGTGGGAGGAGTGCCGAGGGAGGGGAGCTTTTAGGGTTTCTTTCCTATCTAGTATTTATATTTAATATATTTCGGGTCATTAGGGTACCCGACCCGACCAGACCGGCAGGCACCCTTTGTTTCTCTCACTACCCGAACAGGAATGAGACCCGATCGGGTCTGGCGCGGGTTGAGTCGGGGCGATTTGGGTATTTTTGACACCTTGAGAGCTAGTGATTAGCTCGATTATTATTGCTTGACAAATCCGTTCTTATGTAACGAATGTGTACTTAATATTGCTGGTACTTGTTGATCCTCGTTACTTTCTAGGTTTGGCTTTACTTTGTAGTATTCTGGGCTTTGTTTTGCTTTGCCATGAAGTCTGTGTATCTCCCATACATCTTTTTAGTACCCGACCCGACCCGAAAGGCACCCATTATTTCTCTCACTACTCAAACAGGAATGAGACTCGACCCGAAAATACCTTGGATTTTCGGGTTGGGTTAGGTTGGGAGCGGGTTGAGTTGGGACGATTTGGGTATTTTTGACACCCTGAGAACTAGTGATTAGCTTGATTATTATTGCTTGACAAATCCGTTCTTATGGAACGAATATGTACTTAATCCTGCTGGTGCTTGTTGATCCTCGTTACTTTTCAGGGTTTGATTTTACTTTGCAGTCTTCTGGGCTTTGTTTTGCTTTGCTATGAAGTTTATGTATATCACATGCATATTTTTAAGTAATGAATACGACTTTCTTTCGACCCAAAAAATAAAAACAAAATAAAAACTTCATTAGTCTTATTTTTATTATTATGAGAAGGAGAGTTGACACTATTGCCCACTATCCAATGGTGGGTACTTTGGTGAAATTTCCATTCTCATCAATCGACACATAAACCCGATTGCAGCAAAAGATATCCAGCCTCACAGATCCCGCCGGTAATGGCACAACCGTCACTTGTGGATTGTCCTTCTCGATTATTGCCTTCGCGCTGTGCGCATTTTGTCCCACCGGCTCCGGCCAATTGTTCTTGGGTGCTGTTACAGTACATCAGAAACAATTAAGCAACCTTAATCTCTACTTCACCACGCCTATGTGTGTGTTATTAGTCACTAATGTTCTTATGCTATAAAATCCAGATTCCAGAATACTATTTGCTCGGACCAAGCATATAAAGCATCATTTAGGAAATGGTGCACAGTAACTCTCAGGAAAACAAAAAGAAAATGATAACGCAAATGAGATCCCTGCCATAAAAAATATGAAGAAAAATAAATGTATACCATCCTAACAACATCCTGGATTTAAGCAGCAACCAAGAAAAGAGGGAGGGGAGCGAGAAATGCCGTTGGTGGACATCTTTTCTGCCTTCTGAAGTTGAAAGACACATACCTATACATGTATATATAGAGATATAAATCCAATATAACTTGCATATTAGCTGTAAATGCTTGTCTTTTATAGAATTAAATCACGAAACCTAGATGGACATCTCTCATGTTAATTACTGAAGCCAAAAAAAAAAAAATCATAGAGTGGCAGGATCATTATGTTTATTTTTTTTTAAAAAAAGTGACGGAGGATAATTCCATCCAATTAAAGGAATATATAAAAAATTTCATATACTTTATAGGGGACATATTTATCTACCATCTATATATCTATACATCTATGTAGAGATCGATAAATCCACTATGACTTGTATTTCAGCTAATGTATTTTAGCTAATAAATGCTCGCCCTTTGTAGAAATAAATCATGGAATTTGGACGGATCCCCCTCATATGACTTACTACAGCAAAAAGGCAATATACCAAAATTTTCATTGGTACAATGGGGGAGGTTCGCTACAATTCTTTACGGAAAAAAAAGTTTATAAGGATGATTTATGTAATTACATGGATCTCTACAAATTGAGATTTTTTAATTCAAATAATAGAAGATATATAAGAAATCTGTATTAATCGGTATGCATTGGACATAATAGAGATAAAAGATCAAAATTTCAAAACAAAACAAGGGTGTTTGGACCAGAGTAGGTGCTTAAAAGGCTCTATATCGGTCTTCGTCTAGACCTCGGGATCACTGAAATGTAAAAATTTTAGAGGGTATTCTCTCTCCCTGCGGAAGACAAAGATAGAGGGTGAATTGGTGATGTGAGGTGTGTGAGCACCGGCACATTAAAGTAAGGAATACATCCTTGGAGCTTGCCTTATAGGATGAGGACAAGCCGCGGAAGCTTTCATAGGAGTGAAATCTCCCTTCCTTTGGGGAGACATATTTTTCAGCCTTCTCAAATCATATGAGTAATTTGACTTACATATGAGTAATAAATGCTCATCCTTCACAGAAAAACATCATATATCCTGGGTGGACATCCCTCTCATTGATCTCTATAGCACAAAAATCAAACTTTTCCTATGCGTGACATGGTAGGATCATTATGTTTCGTTTCTCGGAAAAGGTGACGGACGACAACTTCATCTAATTAAAGCAATATACCAAAATTTTCATTGGCACGATGGGGGAGGTTCACTGCGATTCTTTACGGAAAAACAAAAGCTTATAAGGATGATTTATGTAATTACACAAATCTCTGCAAATTGAGTTTTTTTTTTTAAATTTAAATAATATAAGAAATCTGTAATAATTGACATGCATTGAACGTAACAGAGATAAAAGATCAAAAGTCCAAAACAAAATGAGGGTGTTATTTGCTCAATATCCTCTTGAACTTTGCTACAGAGGTGCAACAGTCCCAAACTTTGATCCAATAAATCCGCCTCCCGTTGTAACTCCGGTATGATAGTCAGTCGCTCCATCCGAGCTCTGCTTCATCCAGCCTTGTAGAGGTTCCATTTGCATAACGTTCTCGCTCTCTTCCCCGTTTTGCTTTTAGCATCAGTGACTGCGACATATTCCCCTGCATTTGAAATGTGAAAGGAAACAAGAGTGTTAGTAAGAGGAGAACCGTGACAAGCAATTCTATCGGATAGTGCCGAAGGGCTGAAAGTCCCACAGAGGAAAAGCACATTTCTTTCAAGGAATTCTAGGCCTGTCCCCAAGATTCTTTCCAAATGAATTCCTTGCCGAGGTGAAATATTTAAAGCATTTCAAAAGGTCGCAGCGACTGGGCCATCTGTGGGAAGGCGTAGAGTAGTCACAGGTTGAAGACTACATTGTGGACAGACACTTGCTAATGTAGCTTGGGCAGTGATACTATTGAGAAGACATTGCCAAATGATATGCTTGATCTCAGAAGAGTGTCGAATTTCCGCACACAATCCCGGTTCATGTGGCTTGTATTCATCTCAGCAACATCATGGGCAATCTCATAGGCCGGTGTATGGTAAAATCGCTGAATTCCAATGCACTTTGCTGTGTCTGGCAATCGGAACAGCGCAGATTGTACTCAAAATACTGTCATTTAGTAGCATATAGAGACCGCTGAAGTTCCAACTACACAATCTATTCCAACAATCTCTTAAGGTTTTCTTCAACTTCAATGAGAGGGCCAACTACAGAATTCCTTAATGGTTCCAAGACCCGATCAGTTGACGTCCCAAAGCGGAGTCCTCATCGTTAGTACCATAACTAATGCCTTTACCGAACTCTCTCTTCGACATTTATACAATGACTAATCAGACGATATTGATTCAAAGAATCAGGACCTCGACACTAGGGAATAACAGAATTCAAAGTGTCCCAAACTCCTCGAGGCACGACTCTACAGTTAAAATAAAGGAATAACAAGCGAACAAACAGAGTCGCTTACACTACCCATTTCAGGTTTTTGGGAAAAGATAGCGGGAACCCCGTCAGGACCGGCGGCCTTCAAAGGCTTGAGCTCTCAAAGAGCTTTTCTGATGGTATCTGAAGTGACATGCTCCTGAAGACTCTGAATAGCATCATGGGGAAGAGATTTGACCCAGTTCGAAGGAAGCACAGGGATTCTTGGGGAGCAAACATGAGAGGTAGAGAAAAGATTTATTAAATGATTCAGTCAGTAGAGTAACAATTAGACTCTAAGTTTGAGCTTGAAACTTCGCTGATAGCTTTGTGTTTATAGAGTTTATCTACTAGCTATTACAGTAATTACATGAGATAAGCATAAACTAATTCAAAATACTTTTAATTTTATATTAGTATGTTACGGTAATAACTACATGAGATACAGTGATAACTACAATAATAACTACATAAGATAATAATGGACTAATTCAAAATATTTTAAATTTGAACGAGTCATGCATTGTTATCCTTAACAAGTAGAAACCTCCATAGCCCAACCAATCTCCTCGTTCTTTTAAGGCATTGTGAAATCCTTTGGAAAGAGTCTTTTCTAGATTAATCCAGAATTAGTTGGGTCACGAAGCCAAAGCATGGCAGACTGGAGGTGAAGTGCTCGGTGTAAGTCATCTTTTGTGAGAGCGCTTTGCACTTGAGCAGTTCGCTGCCGGAGACACCTATGTTTGTGCTCCTAGGATGGCCCAAAGAGGATGCGCAAACGTGATGATTGGAACATACATGCACTTTGAAAAAGTTTAGCTCTCACATTTCTCTCTTAAGAATCCCTTTGGAAGTGATCCTCACTCTCCAAAAACGTGTGTGTGGCGTGTTTTCAAGCCGGAGTCGCCTTACCTCATTCACTCAAGGTAGGAATCCTCAAATTACTCTATGGTTTTGATACTAATTTGTTCGCCGAGGATTCCGTGCTCGGATCGTTGTCAAAAGATGAGGTACAATGGCTTGCCTCACCCTCACAGGTGTTGCGAGCCCATTACCTCGGTCTACGGTCCTTTAGCCAAGAGGATGTTTACTATGCTTGATTACATTTTAGTAGATGTTGAACATGTTTTTGCGCTAGGACCGGTTTTATTTCATTTGTGCCGTGCCTCCTCCAACGTCTAGTTGGATATTTCTCCTTGCAGTTTGGCTTTGTTATCTCATGGTAGATTAGAATTCGTAGTAGCATTTTCATGTAAAAGCCACGTATGTTCATTCATAAACCGGTTTTGGAGCACCGGTCTAGAACGTTGTTATTAATATATGTCATATCTAATCTAACCTCATATTAGGGGGTAATAACAGGATATAGTCATTTGATAACAACATTGCATCTTTCTTGCAATATATGAGAACTCAATTTTGGGAAACCCGGTTCCTAACTGGTTTGGTGTGATAAGGAGCGGTTGACGACCCCTTAGTGGCGTCTCGAGGAGGCCTTGAGTGGCTCTAGCGATCCTTTGACACCTCGGGATGTTTTTAGTATTCATTTGGGCAGAGCGCTAATAAGCACTCCAGGCTTGCTGTCCAGCTCTTTAGTGTGCTGAACAGCGGGCTTCAGGTCCTTATTTGGCTCATTTAAAAGTCGTGGGCGGTCTTGGGACGTCTCTTTTTGCGTTCATACATCATTCCGAGGCTAATTTGCATATTATACAATATCGTTATCAAATATGCACCATTGCTGTAGATTTATAATATACCCATATGCTTTAGTGTAGTCTAGGCATTTACATTATGAGATCGTGAATATAAATGAAAATGAGAAAAGAATAATAAATGAAAAAGGTAAAAAAAAATTGGACCTGCACTTAGTCATAAATTGCATGTTTAAGCTCTACTTAATCCATGTTTAATCGTTGCTCATTCTTGTTTAATATCTCGCTATCATCATTTAGTTTTAGGGAGCATGAATTATTTAATTTAAAATATTTGCATATTTAAATTTGGGTATAGCTCACGGGCTCTTGTCCTAGGGTTTTTTCGCAACTTGTATCGGGTTTTTTTTTTCGCGTTTTTATCATTTTATCACTTTAAATATTTGCATATTTTATTTTTTTAGACCGTATGCGAGTTCTTCGCAAAGGTACCAAGATGTTAAGTCCTACCCCTCACCCCATTCACTTGAGAACAAGAATTATCAAGAAGAAAGAGCACCTGATAATGTGAGAGTTGCTTGTCAAATTTGTAAGCGTCTGGGACATGACGCACCAAGGTGCTGGTACCGATTCGATAACTCCTTCCAAAGCGAGGAAATCCCAATTGTACTTGCCGCCATGCATCTTGAGGAGCCAAAGGGAAGTGAATGGTACCCGGATACGGGTGCCACAACTCACATCACTACAAATCCCGGTATAATTCACAACCCTTCAAAGTATACTGGTAATGATAGTGTTATGATAGGTGATGGATCATGCCTTCCTATCACATTTACTGGTAATGCTTTCCTTCATACTGAGCTTGATATATTACCCCTTAATGACTTATTGGTGGTTCCAGAAATAACGAAAAACCTTCTATCAGTCTTAAAGCTAACTAATGATTATCCTTGCTCTTTTGTTTTTGACAAATATGGTGTTTATGTCAAGGACAATCAAACCAACTCGGTAGTGATGCTCGGAAGGAAAATTGGGGGACTTTACAAAGTTGGTCAACAAGCAATTGAGGCTCTTTTTACTCAAAGACACAAGGCAATGGGTAAAGAAGTGTGGCACCAGACGCTTGCTCACACTAATGCACAAACACTTAAAGTTCTGTAGAATCAGAAACCTATTCAATGGAATAAACAAGCGCAGGCCGTGTGTGGGAGCTATTGGATTATAAAAAGTACTAAGTTGTCATTGCCTTTATCAAAGTCTGCAACCAATTTTCCTCTAGAAAGGATTCATTGCGATATTTGGGGTCCGTCGCCAGTAAAATCCTTTCAAGGTTTCAAATTTTACGTCATGTTTGTAGATGACTTTTCCCATTATAGTTGGGTATATCCAATGAAGTTAAAATCGGAGTTTTATGATATCTTCATCCTCTTTAAAAAATGTGTGGAAAATCAATTCGACCGCAAAATCAAAGTGTTTCAAAGCGACGGAGGGGGAGAGTTTACTAGTATGAAATTTCAGAAACATTTTGCAGAACTGTGGTATAAAGAATTACATGTCATGTCCATATGCCCCGGAACAAAATGGGGTTTTGGAAAGGAAACATCGACATCTCGTGTAGCTTAGGTTGTCTATGCTTTATCACGCGAGAATTCCACTGATTTACTGGTTGATTCATTTTTTACTGCAAACTATATCATCAATCTCCTTCCAACCCCAAATCTATAGCTGGACAGTCCTCATAGTAAGATCTTTGGGCAAAAATCGAGATATGATTTTCTTCGAGTATTTGGTTGTGCTTGCTATCCTTGTCTCCGACCGTATGCGCAACACAAATTTGATCCTTGCTCTCTCACTTGTGTATTTTTTAGTTACAACGAGAAGCATAAAGGGTACCGTTGTCTTGTACCAACAGATGGGAGAATTTATATCAGCAGAAACGTTACATTCGATGAAGGTCTCTTTCCATTTGCTCAGAAGTTGAATGATGTGTTCCCTCAATATACGATTTTGTATAAGAAATGGGTTGAAGAAGTGAAGTTCATGGGATATGATAAAGAATCACAGCCGAGAAATACTGCACATGATAATTCGGGTTTTTTACAAGATAATGATGTCCTTGAGATTGGACAAATCAAAGTGCCTTACAAGGAAACACCTGTGTCACAAATGTCTCCCACTACTGAGTTGGAGAACACGTGTGTTCATGAACAATCTAAAGAAACTCAAGCAACTAACCGTTGTGAGCCACCTATAACGGATGCGGTGACTTCTGAACAGCCGAGAATCACTTCTACTCACCAAATGTAGACACGTCTTAAATCTGGGATTGTAAAGCCCAACCCCAAATACGCGTGCCTAGCTGAATATCGGGTTCCTATAGATTCCAAATCTGTAAAATCAGCACTTGCACATGAAGGTTGGAATAAGGCTATGAGAGAGGAAATGGATGCCTTGCATGAGAACTAGACCTGGATTTTGGTTCCACGCGATCAAATGAATGTAATCGGGTGCAAATGGGTATTTAAAACCAAGTTGGCCACAGATGGGAGCCTTGACAAATTAAAGGCACGATTGGTAGCTAAAGGCCATCATCAAGAAGAGGGGATCGATTTTCTTGAGACGTTTAGTCCTGTGGTGAAACAGGTGAGAATTCTCATTGTCCTCTCGGTAGCTATGGTGCAAAAATGGTCGATACACCAATTAGACGTCAAGAACACCTTCTTGCATGGTACGCTTAAACTCCCTAATCATGTATGTTTGCTCCGAAAGTCTTTGTATGGTTTGCGTCAGGCTCCGCGTGCATGATTCGAGAAATTCAGCAATTTACTTGTTGACACCTAAATTTTGACAATCCAGTCAGTCGTTCGTTGCATAAAAATTAGGGATCGATCCCAGTCCCTAGACAAAAAATTAGCATATAGATTAGAAGCATTTGAATTTGTATTTAGGCTCACATAGTTGCATTTGCATTGGACTGGCGGCGGATGGACTCAAGTGCAGAGGTTGTGAACTCAATGGAAATTGGACTAAACTCGCGTGGATTAAAGATTTTGGCCTAGCCCATTTATTTTTGCGCGAGGGGTCCTACACTTAGAAAGAATTTTCGTAAGTTCACGATCTAGGGACATGCGATCAAGAGCAACATATAAATCGTGCAAAAGGTTATATTCTTGATTGTGTGTATATTATATGTTTGCCATATATTTGGTGCATAATTCTTGATCAAGAATCGATAAAAAGAGAGAGATTCTTTTCCGAGTCTTGAAGGGCGTAATCTTGTCGGTTTAGGCGTGGAATATTGGCTGAAATACGGACAATATTCTGATTTGGGGAGTGAAGAAGACAAAACAAATATAAAAGAAGATGTGTGCGAGAGGGGAGAGGAGGA